TACAAGCCATTTTACATTGGAAATCCAAATCTAGCTGCTATTTGAAAATTGGCCTTATAAAAAGTAATTGTTACAATGCATTTTTGACTTAAAATGGATGTGGTGCACCAAATGACCAAGAGATTGTTTTCAATTGCAAACCAAACTTTTTTTTTATTATTAAATAAATGTGTGAACAATCAAACAGTGGTTATGTTGTTAGGCAGAGCAGTTAGCGTGTCCAAACTACCAGAGCCCTCCTTCCATACATACTGCACCCTGGCCTTACTTTGCCAGGTTCTTTGCACATAGAGCTTTACTGGGCCATTTCTCCCAACTCCTTGGTTAGACATTCCCCTTTGTGTCCCAGCATGGGTTTTCAACAATAAAACTAATTTTTAACATCTGTTATACTGAACAAAAAATATATATAAATAACAAACTACTACTACTACATGTATATAAAACTACTTTCTTTGCACACAAACACTAAATAACACTTTCAACTATAAAACCAATTTCTCACATCTATTATTAGAAACAAAAATATATATAGAAATAACAAAGTCAGTGTTTATTTAACACTTCTTTTTTTCAGTTCTTGGGGATTTAAGAGCTACCCGTCTGGCAGCTCTTAACGCCCTCCTGGAGGCCTTGAAAGAAGACTCCAGCGGGCTCAGGCGCACCATGAGATTGATGTACATCTCCCTCTGTGTCTTGACTGGTGTCTGTGGAGTAAAAAACATATTGAGTGCTTAGTACTTTCACCTCTCTTTTTCTTTTCTCTATTTTCTGTATTTAATTAATTTTTAAAAACACATTTCTTACAGATGCTGCTGGCCCCGCAGTGACGTCCTCCTCCTCCTCTTCCCCCTGCTCCTCCTGTCCCTCTTCCTCCTCCCGTCCCTCTTCCTCTTCCTCCATCTCCAGCTCCCACCTTTCCTCCTCCAAGCAGGAGTCTCCCGACTCCTGGAAGGGGAACGCCTCGTCGCTCAGCGAAGTGCTATCACTTTCCTCCTGCGCTGTAGCTTTGCCGGGGCAAACCTTCTTGGCCTTTGGCGGGGACGAGGGTGAGCCACCAAGGTGGGGCAGAGTGGAGGCCTCCTCGAAGTGCCGCCTCATCGCACGCGACTGCTCCATGTCCATATGGAGGGCGTAGTAGCGGTCTGCCGTGGTGGTATTGTGGCACATGAACTTGGCCACTTTGCTACGCACCTCCGGAGTGTGCACGTTCTTTGCCTGCAAGGAGAGACAGTGAGAGAAAATGAGTGACGCACGAGGAGCGAGCGGTGGAATGAACTTAAACGAACAAGCAAGCAGAATCTCACGTGTGCAGACACGGCGGTCCTCAGGTCAATGAAGGTGGGCTTTCCGGGCAAGCCCATCTCCGCCCACGCCTCCTGCATATACCGGACCAGGTTCTTCAACGGCCCTTTTCCAGGGGTGAAGAACACCCGGTCCCCCGCCGGATTGCAGGTCTCCCTCACCTGGAGCCACTTGAGGAGCCAGCCGTACTCCTCCGGCTCCAGGAAAATCTGTGCCGGCCCAAAGTCCTTGGAGGTCTTGTGCTCATTCACCTGCGATGCGTTGTTACAAAAATAAAAATATATCAATAAATAATCTGAATGAATGAATGAAGTGACACTTGAGAGATGTAGCCAGGTGAGCTCGGTCATACTTACACGGATGACGTAGCCCGTGGGAGGCCGGCCCTCAGTGGCCGCCCCCCTGACCTCTGCCACCGTCATAATCTTGAACACACCCGGGCGGTGCCCATAAATTGATGCAATGAAGGCGCTGTAATAGCCGTAGAAGGCGTTCCGGAGCTGGACGGTGTAGTCCTCCCGGAGTTCCTCTGAGGGGGAAATGGCAGAAAGGGTTAAGCGAGTGAAAAATGTGATGTGGTGGTGGAGAGAAAGCGCAGCGTGTGTTCAGGGTGAGGTGAACAAATCTTACTCAGCAGCTTAGGAATCGCCTTCCTCGCACCGACCTGGCACCGCCTGAGCGACTCCTGGGAAACGACTTTGGACAACTTTTTGTCCTTGGTCGTCAGCTGGTGGGCCAACATCTTTTTTGAGATTGATTTTATGGCCTGTCTCACGGCCCGGATCACACCAGTGATCTGGCTTTGGGAGAGCCTGGCCAACTTCGGGGGGGTCTCCTTAAAATAGACCATGAATTGCAGGACATTCCTGAGGTAAAAGTATGCCGTGGTGACGTTTTTCCCCGACGCGGACAGGACGTTGGGCCATCTGCGGGGGGAACACACATACAGTCATAGGTTGATGCATGCATACATACATACATGTCAAACCCAGAAAGAAGCAAGCGAGCAGCGAGACCGCACTTACTGGATGATCTGCTCCGCCTTATCTAAAAAGCGCCAGGTTGCCAGGGAGGAGTCCTTGCCGGCCATGAAGGCCAAAAAGGACCTGATGCGGCTGACCTTCGAGAAGGCATTCTCCCGGTGTTTTGCAGAGGGACAGCTGCCCTCGTGGAAGGCCTGGTATTGTTTAAAGTAATTTTTTGTTAAAAAAATCACAATAAACATTTCATTCAATAAAACAAACGTGCAGAGATGAAAATGACATGGATCAAAAACACATTTACTTAATACCAACTGCCAAAATGTAGTAATACCCACCCATCGACTCTGGGAACTTTATGTGGCGAATAAAGGTCCCTTTGCCCTTCCCTACAAAGAGCCTTTTAGCCGCTTTTCTCAGGCCTTCCTCCACGCCTTCCGCGCCTTCCACCCTGCCAGGTATTTTTGCCGCTGGCTCTGCCACTGGTGCAGGGTCAGGGTCAGGCACATATGATGTGCCTGGCTGCTCGTCATCTTCCTCCTCCTCTCTTCCTCTCACTGCCTCCTCCTCCTCCTCTCTTCCTCTCACTGCCACGGTTGCCTCCGTTCCCCTCTCCTGAAAAAAAAAAAAAAAAACACAGGGAAAAAGCTTAATCATGTAACTTTGTCACTAGTGTCAGCCAATTTAATTCACTCACTAACCTTGGAAAGCCGGTGGAACTTCTTGGCCAGCTTTTGATAGCTGGCACGGAGCTGTCTCAGCTCTTCCTCCAACCGCTCTATCTTCCGGTCTTTCTGCATCCCCGCCTGCTGCCAGCTCCTCAGTTGCGCCACATAGTCTGGGTTCAGGCATTGTGGCTCTTCCATCACTTCAAGAGGAGGCACTTGCTGGTATCCTTCCTCCTCCTCCTCCTCCAGACCCAGATCCAAGCACGAGGCCAGCGGCACTGCTGGGGCTGTGGACCGCAGCTCTTTTAGGAGAGCAGGTTTTTTGTTTTTGGCAGCGTCATATCTGAAGAAAATAAATAAAAATAAATCAGACACATAATAATAATGAACAATAATTGTGTTGTAAAGCATCCACTATGCTCTCCTGTTCTTTATTCATTATTATTATTATTATTATTATTCTGGGATAAATTTCATTGAACTAATTTCTGACAAAGAAAAACTACTTAAACATTATTGCTTTGAATAACTCGGTTTTTAAATAAACAATCATTTGGGAGATGGTCTGTGTGCCTGGATGTGGAGATTGTGTGTCTGTGAGTGAGGGGAGGGGGGAGGGGGGGGTCCGCTGGTGGTAAGTTCCACTGCAGGGCACGATCTGCGATGGTACCCTTTAAGTTTCTGCATTCCATCCTGCTGCTCTAAATTTAGAAATTCAGCTTAAAAATATGACCACAAAACGTTTATAAACTGTATCTCATTGTGCAGTGTTAGGAAATGCATCTCAATTCGGATTTTCATCATTAAAAATGCAAGCAAAGCACAGTCAGTCATAATGGCGCCAGCCAATTAAGTTTTGGCACTGCACTGATGAAATTAAGTTGCAAAAAAGTCAAACATCATAATTTCTGACAAAGAAAGACTAGTTTCAAATAAAACATCTACACAGAAGTGTTTAGCAAGTTTAACACCGTCGACCTCATGTCAACGGGGTTTTTAATCTTTAAAGGGCATTTGTCGCAGAATTAAGCATGAAGTCACACAATTCGAACATTTATCTGAAAACGTCATAAAAACAATTCATGGAATAAGTTCACTTAATGCTCCCAGTGATTCGAATTTTTCTTCTTTTTATGAAAAAAAACTCTGCAGTTGATCCACACGTCCTTCTTCCAGATGAGCTCTCTTTGTCTGTCTCTCGCAGTCTTTGTGTCTCCAAAGGTGAGAACAGCGAGCATGCGCAGTGCGAGTGAACAACGGAGGTGCGAATCTGCGTGGGGGTGGGGTGGGCTTGCTTTCTTAAACAAAGCTGTTTTTAAGGACAGCGCAGTGAGAGTGAACAACGGAGGTGCGAATCTGCGTGGGGGTGGGGTGGGCTTGCTTTCTTAAACAAAGCTGTTTTTAAGGACACTGCAGCTCTGGCACCATATAGATTTATTTATTTATTTCTACATTAGGTTTACATTCTGTGACAATTCGAAACCCATAACATGCCAGCTGCGGGGTTGCGAAATGTCACCCATTGCTGGAGCGTGTGTTTGCTATTTAGAACGGTTTTAATGCACTTTTCCCACATCTTTAAAGCACCCCTTGAGCATTTTAGAGCACATCTAATCTTAGCTAAGCATTTTAACCAAACCACTTTACACAAGGCAAATCCGCTGCTTTGGTCCGTGACGCATTGGCAACACTCAGCCTTAATTCTAAGGGTGTCGAATTGTCAAAAACGCCATTAAATGATTCCTGGATTGAGTTTTGGCTATTTCCAAACGTTTTTTGAGGGTTTTAAGGCACTTTTCCACAGGTTTAAAGCACCCTGCAGCGTTTTATGCCACATCTAATCTTAGCTAAGCATTTTCAACCACTTTTACACAGGCAAATCCGCTTCTTTTGTCCGTGACACTTCGAAACCCAGACACACCATTTTAGGGGTTTCCAAATGTCTTGACCATTCAGGAGGAGCCACTGACATTTGGGAACCGTCACCCCATTCCTGGGGTTTCCAAATGTCTCTACCAATCAGAAGGAGCCACTGACATTTGGGAACCGCCACCCCACTCTAGGGTTTTCCAAATGTCACGAGCAATCAGAAGGAGCCACTGACATTTGGTAACCGTCACCCCATTCTAGGGGATTCCAAATGTCACGAGCAATCAATCAGAAGGAGCCACTGACATTTGGAAACCGTCACCCCATTCTAGGGGTTTCCAAATGTCTTGACCATTCAGGAGGAGCCGCCGCCAGGATTTGGCCAATAAACACTCTCGGGCCCCTCGGGGTAGCCTGGAATCCGAATGGAATGCTGCCCCAAAATCAACAGTTGAACGAGATCGCCCCTGCCAGAGTGGTCAATGAATTGCAAGGGGTGACCAAATGTCAAGAAGGGAACTTTGTGTCTTAATGGGCGTTATGCCGAATTGTCGCGTACATTGACACTGGATCCCCTTTCTGACGTGTCAGTATACCTTCCCATTCATTTCTCGGTGATTTCTTTACCCATACCCTACCACCTGCTTCTTACCCCCGGATTACCACCAGCTGCACCTGATTAGTTTCTCCCTATTTAGCCCCTGCTCTTCGTTCACTCCCCTGCCAGTTCTTTCTAACATTTCTCAGGCCCGTTTGTTCCTCGTTGTTCCTTCTGATCTGTGTTAGTTTTCTTTTGTCTCCTTCTCTCCAGCTGCTTTAATTCATTCCCTCCTCGCCTCAGTCGCTCCTTCGGACCACAGACCTCCTCCGCTCTGCATCATCACCACTCTGCAGGTCGATGCACAGTCTACTACTTACCGTATGTACAATTTCTGTTCCTCTTCAGTACCATCCAACTCGACCAGTCCAGGAGTGAGTTCCAGTGTCCGCAGCCCGGTCCTCTTCTCATCATCTCCACCTCTGTGTTCCCATCCGAAGCTCGACACCCGGTCTCAGTGTTACTTGACTGTTCATTTCTTGGTCACTTGTTTTACACTGTAAATAAACTTGCACTGCTTGCATCAAAGTCAGCCACCTGGGTCCGTCAATTTTTGTGACTCGCTCACTTCCGTGTTTGAGCCATCCCAACACTCTCCTCTCACATCTGACTTGCACCAGCATAATCATCTATTATCACCTAAACCTGTTGCTCATTATAGCCCTAACTCGTCTCCCATATATATATATACATACCCTGTTTCTCTTAGAGCCCCACTGGTTTGTCACCCATGCTTCCATGCTCTCCCGTCTTCCACTGTGTTCCCCCGAATTGCTGCCCGACTCTCCCACCTCATCTTCCTGGTTTCTGTGTGGCGCACTCATCTCATCCCAGCTGCAGATCTCAGTGTTCTCCGGTGAGCAGTGTCTTCTTGGTTGCTGTGTGCAGTTGGCTCTCCACACCTTGTGGGTCCAGCTCTCCATTCTCCAGCTACCCTCTCTGCATGGGTCTTGCTCTCCGCTCTCCATTTCTGCATTCTCTAGTCCTCCCGTCTTCGTGGGTCCAGCTCTCCATTCCCCAGATCCTGCACTGCCTCCCTCCCGTCTCCCCAGCCAGTACCTGCACTGCCTCTGCCTCGCCTCTCCTCTACCCAGCAACCTCCTAAACTCCTTTTGTGTTCCACTCCTGGTGTGTGTACACTGGGTCCACCTGTACCAGCCCATGACAGAAGGCTCTCTACTCTCTGTAGCCAAGGTGATGCTACCATACAAAAAGACTGTCCTGTAAAGAATGAGTCCATATGTTGTCTGTGCCTACAGCCTATTATGACCGTATTATGACTTGTTATAATTAGGTGACCTTTAGTAGCCATAACAATAATAAAGTAGTAATATTAGTAATAATAAAAGGAGAACGTTAGGTGATGTATATACTGTAGGGCAACAAAGGCTGCATCAGGAGGACATTGGGGTGGATGGATAACATACAGGACCTTCCCACAGGAGAGTGGGGTTTGATTCCTGTGTGAATGTGAGGTCACCTGTTTGCCTCTCTCTACCTACCTGGGGACTTTGGGCGAGCAACTAGGTGGGGCTGGCAAGTAGTGGCACAGCTGAAGCCAACTGCTCCATCTCCTCAGCTAGCATTTAGTCTGGGCTCAGCTGGGTCTAATTTGCCAGTCAGTTAGTTGTTCTTGTAACAGACGGCTGGCAGAAACTTCCCAGAACCTTTTTCTCTCCGAGGTTAGCTATGGTCTAGCTACCACGCAGCTTACTAGTGTGAGCTGTCAACACTGAGTAAGTCCTCTCCAGCCTTCTGCCAGTTATTTACCTGTGTCCTTGACGCCACCTGAGCTGCTCCTGTTTCATAACCACTCAGCCTACCTGCATGAACTTTCTATGCTGGGTGAGTTTCTCCAGCCTGGTGTCAGCCGCCTACCTGTTTGATTCTTTGCCACTGTCTGTCCTGCACTGATCAGTTTTCCTGTGAGATCTCTCTACACTGAGTGACTCCAACCAGCTCATTGGCCACATCGTCAGCTCGCCACTCTGGCCAGCTCCATGTTCGTGACTCCAGCTCCTGGCACCAACCAGCTCTTTGCCCGCCTTGTCAGCTTGCCCCTTCAGCTAACTCCACATCAACTACTCCCGCAACCAGCTCCGATGAAGCATCGACCCTGATCTTTTTCTAAACAAAGTAGCTTTTGTTCCTAAAGTTGTCAGGTAGATCTACATCACTTGATTGTCCACTCCCTGGGTGTAGCGCACAACTAAATCTCATCCCCACTGATCAAACCATCCCTGTATAGAGTGCTGGCAGATGCTCCTTTGTTGCCAGATCATTGATGTTGATGATGATAATGTTAACGGTGACATCTATGGTGATTTTACACAAGTTGGCGTTCTTCTCCATTCTGCTTACCTAACGGCAATCGCTACTCGGCTCACCTGCCCTGTCCTCTGGTTCCTGTGTCCCTCCTGTCATCTCACCTGCTGTCATCTACCCACCTGTCCATCCTGGTCCTCTGATCCTCCTGGTTACTGCTGCTCGCCTGTCTACCCACCTGTCCATTCTGGTCCACTGATCCTCCTAGTTACCGCCAGCTCGCCTGCCTGCTTACCTGCCTGCTTACCTGCCTGTCCTGGTCTTCTCAGCTTCCACTGCTCGACCCTGGTTTGGACCACGCATAACCCATTGACTTTGTCCTCCTATCCTCTGTGTATATAGTAATAAAGACACTCTTCCACTAGCACATGAGTTTGCACCTTGAGTCCTCATTCTCTCTCTCTCTCTCACCCCCGATGAGGGACACCCAATCCTAACAAAAACTGACCACACAGTCAGTTCCATAACTATAACCATGCGTTTATGATTGTTTTCATCACAAATACAGTCCAGTACG